GCCAGTCCGGCGGCAGAGGAGGCCAGGTGTACAGGCACAAGCAGCAGGTAAGAGGAGCTGGGAGGGGGATGCAGCCCTTACCAGCCCACCTGAGACCCCTGCAGAGCCCACCATAGAGATTCTCAGATGGGCTGTGCAGCATCTATGCTGGGCTCTGCAGGGTCACTCTCAGGTGGGATCTCAGGTATGTGTGGGGTCTCAGGTGGGTCCTGTGTCCAGTGGGTCACTAAGCCCTGAGTCCAGCGGGTCACTAAGCCCTGAGTCAAATTCATATACTGTTCTGTATTGCTGTATACACTGTGTGGCCATATTATTTTGACCACCCCAATAGTACTTTGTTGGGCCACGAGATGACTTCGTTGGGCCGCCTCGTGACTCCACGAGATGATGAAAGGTGATGCGAGGAATCTGACACTGCACTGTTGCCCTTCTGTTGTCTTGTACCAGTCTTGCCACTCTTCTATGTAAATGTATAATAATAACTAGGGATGCACCGATACCGAGTATTTGGGCAAGTACTCTCCCAAATGCTCTGATGCCTAGTCCAATACTTCAGACATCAGGAAGCCGAGTCATTACACTGTGTGCCTCTTCTGGAACTCCCAAATTTGGATTTCCGAAAAAGTTAATACATACCACCATAATGTATTAATCAAACGGATATATGCTGGGAAACCCATTCTCCTGGTGCCTCCCCTTGTCAGCGCTGATGGCTTTGTCTTCACCCTCTTGACCCCTGGACAGTCCTCCAGCTTAGCAATAAAATGATTCCTCACCCTTACTTCTGCATTCCTTTTTTTCTGTCCTCTGAGAAATTTGTTCAGAAAATCTCCCTACCATCCAGGTCCAGCCACTCCAGTGGTGAAAGGTGCAGGTGTAACTCCTAATTAGGCTGTTATCCTTCCATCCGTGTGGCGGGGTGCACTATGGCTGGCATAATATGCTACCTCCATTTTGCGCTGGGCAATCTTGGTTAATGGATTCTTTGCTCTCTTTCCTTGTTTCGTTAACTTTCCTCCTTCTAAGTCCCTTGACCAGGCCAGCAGGTGGCATCATTTCCGGCCACTTAAATGCATTCTGGGAGTCCTTTGGTGGCCATTTTTGCATAGCAAAGGAAAGCATAGCATTGTAGGAAATGTAGTTTTCCATGCCCTACATTATAGTTCCTACTGTGCACAACAATTTACACAGACTGCTTGCAGAGCACAGAGGTGGCCATTTCTATAGGAGCCATGAGGAGATGAAGAAGACAGCTATCAAAAAAGTAACAGGGTTATTCACAAAAGGGTGAAGAGTGTGGAGAAGGCCGGAGAAGTGACCAATCTAGGACAACATAGCTGGGAAAATTCTGCAACTCAGCTCACTTTACAGTTCAGCTATGTTGTCCTAGATTGCTCACTTCTCCTGCGTTCTCCAATCTCTTCATCCTTTTGTGAATAGCCCTGTAAGTTTCTGTGTTCATATACAGCAACTGCATATGCCTGTTACATGTACATATGGTGTTCATTGCTGGCATATGTTTTTTTTTAAATATCTCCACAAAGGTGGAAAAGGGCTTTAAAGTGGTCAATATAATGTTTCTGATTATGGACCCTTGTTTACCTTCTGCACTCTGCAATACTCTACCTCCAAAATCACTATAGCTTAGGTAGCACATATATTCTGTCCCATATTGCATCCTATGTCACCTGGGGCCTTCTGCCACAAAACATAACTAATTTCTGGCCATTCCTTTAATTAACCAGGCCGTGTATGTACAGACAACTGTCCAGATATATGAACACTAATATGGACATAAAGCACATATAATTATGACCACTACTCTTTAAGGTCAACAGGGGTCTATTTACATTGTTAAATTATAAACCAGTACAGGACTGGTTCAAAATTTGGCAATGTATTGTCAACAAAATGACACAGAAAGCCCTCCAAAGCTTTAGGGGGTATGGTAATTATAAAGAAAAAGATGACATAGGGTTCCCCTAATATTCCAACTAAACCCTTATCCAGGAATGCAACCTGGGTGGCCAGGAACCGTAAGGCAGTGCGTGCAGAGCTTCCCTCTTCTTGCAAATCACCCTTCTCTCATTGTATAGGGACAAGGGCCTCTTCTCCGCCTCCATGTGCCCTAAAAAGGAGGTGGAGGTAATAGTAAAATGGGGGGAATGTATGGTGGAATCTGGAAGACCTCTTTATCATAAGAGGGTGACAAGATATACACTCCTTCCCGGGAGAATGAGTGCAGCAGTACATTAGAACGCCTTACTCAATTCCAAAACGTGCTAAAAGTAAAATAAAAATCACTGAATTAATAATCTTCTGCTAAATGAAAGATTCACAACTGTAATAGTTTAATTCACCACCGGGATTCCCAAGTGATATCATTTTATGTTAATCAATGATGTCACCTAGGGATCCCCTGGATTTCCCAGTCAGATGTTAAATCATTAAAGTGAGTGTACATATTTATTACTAAAATAAGAAAAACCGGCACAGAGTTTCCCTTAATATTCCACTATACCAGCCTGGGTGGCTAGGAAAGGGAGGGTAGTGAGCATGCAGTCCCACCTTTCTGTGCCATACCAGGCCACATGCCTGTCCACATTAAAGGGGAACCTTGAATGAGGAGACAGCAAAGCTCTTTGCTAAGTTCCTTTGTCCCAATGTTGAGGGACAAGGGCCTCTTACCCACCTCCAAGTGGCCAAAAAAGGAGGTGAGCTTATGGTGGAATTTGGTAGTCCCCTTTTTAATAAGGGGGCAACTAAAGATCCACCCCTCCTAGGGGAATGAATACAAGGGTACATTGGTACTCCTTACCTATTCTCACAAATAATTCAAAGTAAAAAAACAAAACACCAAAGTATAAATCCTTTAATAAAATAAAACACAAACACATACTTACTGGCTTTTGAAATTAAGTTTATTATTGTTCCCCAGAAGTATGTCCAACTTCAATCATAGCAAACTGATGTATCCGTCAATCAACTTGTCCATTGAGGTAATCCATATTAATGATGGTCACCTGCCAAACTGTATATTCTGCAATCCCCCCACTAAACACTGACAAATTCCTGGCTGCGATTATTTAAACGTTGCCAGGAATCCCAGTTGACAAACATTGAACAAATCTGATCAATTACTTTACCTTGGATTCCTGGCGGTATTAATACAGTTGTAAATGTGTAATTTAACAGTAGGAATGCAGCTTGTACAACCCACCCAACTTCCATGGTGTTTACATTCAGGTTCAGGGTTTTTGCCGATTTCAGGCCTGTTGTCAGCTGAACTGACAATGAATCAAAGGGTGATGTGTTCGAGCAACAGTACTGACAGAATGAGCTATAACTCAAGGAGCATAATCTGGAGCAGATATGGCAGTGGCGGGGACGTGCCGTCCTCTAGTCTAAGTTTGTCCTGTGTAGCCCCCTAAAGACACTTCAGCAGTCAGGCCAGACATTTCAATAAAAATAAGATCATAGCAGGTTTGTGTTTTGTCAACCTTTTGATTGCTATGTGTTACACACTTGGTAATGAAGGGGTTACGTTTTTAGTTTAAATATGTTTACCCTCTTTATGCCATTATGTGCGTTATAAAAATCAAGCGTCTGAACTGATTATGTAGAATAAAAAAAGATTACAATATGTAAAAAATGTACTTAAAAGGTTATATCCTGGTGGCAATTCCCTATTGCTTTCATTAATAGCATTATAAAACATTAACCTGAATTGATTTATTGATATGAAAATATATATAAAACACAAAAAATGTATTGAAATGGTGCGGTCAAATAGTTATACTATTATGTCTCTGCATCCAGTGCAGCGCAGTGCGAACTGTAAACCAGCAGCAATTACATTGTTAGTCTGGTTAACATTTACTATAGAATATTTAGTCAATCTATAACACTGTGATAGGGTTGTAGTCAAAAATCATCATGAAGTTCTGTTGAAATTGTCAAAGTTATAGCCTGCAAAGAAACAAGGTGCACACCTTTCAGAAAATGTTTTAATACCCGCAATTCACTATATAAAAAGAGTTTTAAAACAAATTTGCTAAAAAAATAAAGCACATAATGTGTAATAGTAGTGACAGTTGCACTAAGACATAAAAAGTGGACGAGCACATTAAATATTGTCCATTTTTATAAACGGCACATAATTCTGTGTATATTAATTGTCCATCCAGTTTTGAGATTTACACAGCCTTGGCATACAGTACAGCCCTGGCACTGCTAACTGCTAGTCTAAGGAGATTTGTGGTAAGATTTGGTGATGTCGCTACTGTTCTGCTCATGGTTCTCCTGGATGTAGGCTCTGACATGAGGAAGCAAAACACTGCCTCTACCAAGGCCTACCTCCACACAGTGCAGAATAATGAATGGTAAGTCAGTAACATGTAAAAGATCAACTGTGAGGAACACACAGACTATACATGTGACTAGTCCTTTGTCCTGCCTTTTTTCAAGCACGGCTTCCAGAGTTTAGTTCCTTTTTAACTGGAATCTATGAGGATAGGTGTATAATGCTGACTTGCTTTTTAAAAATGCAGATTACATGACTGGGTAATGAAGCCAGGATCAATAAGACAGTTAGTCACTGATGTGGAACAAGCATGAATGATGAGTATTCATACTTTTAACATTTTAGTTGCTACATGTTTGCAGTGGCGTCACATGGGGTGTGCGGGGGTGCAGGTGACACTATCAGAGGGAGTGACACCAAAATGACTCTTTGGTGACACTCCCTCTGAAAAGTCAGGCACTTGGTCATGAACCCAGTGCCAGACAGTTGTATGAGAGAGGGGGGACCCTGTAGGCGTCACGCACATAATGAAGTCACATAACGTGTGTGATGGCGTCTCGGTGTGTGACACCCGGCGCCTGCTCCGAGTGGCACCCTGCCTCTGCATGTTTGTTCCAGGTTGGTGACTTGCTAGGTAGTGAAGCCAGGATGAGGATCGCAAGCCCAGCCTGCCCCTTGTATTTCTATTCTCCCACATTCACTAACTAGACCAGTGTTTCTCGGGTTGACCATCCAGTGATGCCCACAGTTAACACTTTCTTAAAAGTCAAAGGGATTGGATAACCACTGATCGGACTGAAATAAAAACTCTAATGCTTAGGTAAATTCACATGTTTCTCTTTATCTATCTTGAAAACATTTTGGATTCCTTTAAAGTGTATCTATAGCCAAACTGAATCTCAGCTTTGGGTAGAGTGAGAAATGGTTACAACTGCTGTCAAGTTTTTATGTTGTTCTTGTCTGTGCTCCATTAGGTAGTTTTCCCTTCACTTCCTGTCCCAAAGACACAAAAAGTGAAAGGAAATTTCTCTAAATTCCCCCCATGTACCAGAACTGGTGCCTCCTATCAAAGATTTTCCTTCTATTCCTGTGACAACTATAACATTTTTGGGGAGTCTCCTCTAGGACACAGAAAGAACAAAAAAACTCACCAAGTTTAAGCTTTTTCTACTCTATCCAAACAAACAAACAAAAACATTTTAGACATAGATATATAATAAAACTTTAGTCTATACTAACCTGAAAATCTTTGATGAATGTAAGGAAATAGGTGACAAAGCCAAAAGCTACGATCCATTCGCAAACAGCACTTGCTTGGCGATATGGGGATGGCTAAAGAAAAAAAGGAGAACGATAGCTGTTTATGAGGTGAGAAAATTAGCATCAAGAAATATTTGTCCACAAAAGTTCCTGAAAATGGGGAACTGTTTTACTTTTTGACCAATAGGCAGAAAAGTTATTTTATGTGCCTGCATTACCAGCCTTGGTTTATAAGCCCAAGAGGTCTTATTTTTTTTTTGGCATTCTTTTTTTTCCTCTGGATTTGGCACTTTTGACTTGTAAGCTTGTGCTGCCACAGCTGCTGTTGTATTTTGCCTCCTATGTTAGGATGGAGAGCAGTGATTGGAGGAGAGCGTTGTGATCTGCCACAGGAGGCGGAGCTCTCCTCCCCCACTGCCCTGCCCCGCCTTTTGCGACAGCCCATTCAGGATGGAGAGCGGTGTACAAACACTCAGCTGATCGATGAGTGTTTGTAAATAACTGGACATAGTGTGCTTACTATCTCCCAGTTATGAATGAACGGGAATTGCTCTACATCACTTCCTGTTCATTCATGATTGTGGACATAGTAACTTACACTATAACCACAATGTATAAATGAACAGGAACACTCAGTATAGAGGATTACTGTTCATTTATAACAGGGGCTTTAGATAAATAGACTGTGAACTCTGTTTCATCAATCTCTTTTTCTATGTTAAAAAGGGAAATATCCGGGATTTAAAAAAAAGAAAAATTAAATAAAAAGAAAATAATTTAAACATTTTTAAGAAGGTTGGAAAAAAAAGTAACTTTCGGTTTTGGCGTGACAATTTTTTCATTTTCGGTTTTCTTGGTGAATTGAACCCTGCCTGTGGATCCCATCAGCTCAGTAACTTGTCATACTATCCGTACAGACTGGTATCGTGAAGTGTGTTCAAATACATAAATTGGTGGTTGAGACAGAACAAAGCTATTTATAAATAATTTTCCAGCCTTGTTTTCCTCTGCTTTTTTCTAACTTTCTGCTGTTCTCAAATGTTTCTTGTGCGTTTCCAAAATTGTAACCATTTCTTCATACCTACAAAGCAATAAGCAGTTTAAAGTAGGGAAAAAACTGCAACTTTAGCTTTAGAATTAATCTGATGAAAGTGTGTCTTGGATAACAACCATGGTAAAACGTGTCCTCCTTTCAGGATGCCATAGGGCGACATGATATTTTACATCATGGTAACATAGTAGGTGACGTTGAAGAAAGACAAAGATCCATCCAGTTCAACCTGTGTGTGTGTGTGTCTGTATATATACACCAATGCAACTTAAAAGGTGAAACTAATATATGAGATAGACTCATTACAAGCAAAGCAAGATAATTCAAGCCGTGATTTGTCATAATTGTGATGATTATGGCTTACAGCTCATGAAAACCCCAAGAACCACAAATCCACAACCTCAAAAAAGTAGATTATTACATGCAATCAATAAAACAAGGATTGTACATAGAACAATATCGGACCTCTGAAAAGTACAAGCATGCATATGTACTCAGTACTTGGTTTGGGCCCCTTTTGCAGCAATTACTGCAATTACTTTTGCACGATATTCTAATTATTCGAGTTTCACCTGTATATATATGTCAGTTTTATCCCCAGATTTTACAACAAAAATGCAAATTACAAATGTACATTTCAAAGACCTTTTCCCCATACATTCACACTGGGGTTGTTTACTAAAGGAGTGGAGCACATTCACTTTGCATGTGAATTTTCACTTAGTGAATGTGGCAAAAATTCACTTTGCAGAGAATACCCAATCACGTGCAAGGAGAGTTTAAAAAGCAGTATGTTTGCTTGCACATGATTGGATGATGGAAGTTAGCAGAACTTCACCTCATTTTCTTAGCTAGGGGAAAATTCACTTTGCCAAGTGAACTGCCTATACAGCCTTTAGTAAGCAAACCCAATTGTTTCAAGAAAATAAAAAAGAAGCAAAAACAAAATCCTCAAAAAATAAGGGGATTTTTTCATTCATTTTTAAAAATAAATTCCTTATACAGTACACGTTAAAATAAGTCCTTGCAATACCCCAAATTATTTGAGCTGAATCAAACACTGCTAGTAAGGTTCAGCTCCCTGATTGCTGATAAAAGAACAGACGAAGCAACAGCACCACCAGCAACTCCCTATCAAGAGACATTGTTACTCAGTTTGCAGGTGACATTTTAGTTCAAAGTATTTTCTCATTCCACTCTGACTCCCCAGAATTGTCGGATTCCTGTAAAACCTTGACTCATGAAAACATCATTCAGAAAAAAAAAAGTAAGGCGGCAATACTAATACTCTACTGCTACAAAGCTTTCATTTAAAAAAATTTATCTGGTAACAGGTCATGATCCCTAAGGCCCCATTCACATGAGACTTTAGGCTGCAGCCACTGGCGGAACTACAAGGGTCGCAATTGCGACCGGGCCCTGGAGTTCCGCCACTTGGGGGGGCCCAGATCGTGCTGCTCCTTCCCTGCTGCACAGCCACCCACAGCATGTACGGGTGTCTGTGCGGCAGGGGTGGAGAGGCTGTCACTGGTCCCGCAGAATGTGCTGCCGGCACAGCCGGGCAGCACATTCTGCTGTGTGAGGACCGTCTCCTCTTAGCCCTGGCCGACGAGGAAGAGGGCCCTGCAGGAGAGGAAAGGTAAGTCTGGAGTGGGAAGGGGGGGGGGGCGTTTGTCGCGCGATATCGCACAAATGCTTGCATTGAGCAAGCTAGAATCGCGGCAAAATCCGCTCCAAAAAGGGTCCTGCTGTAGCGACGCACGACCCGCGACATTGACAGATAGAGCCCCATTGCCATGCATTAGAGAGCGATATCTTAGCTCACTTTCCAGATCAGCTATGTTGTCCTAGATTGTTCACTTCTCCTGCCTTCTCCAAACTCTTCACCCCTTTGTGAATGACCCTGTCAATGTTAATGTTCACTAAATGAAGATACACACCTCTTCACCAGGCTCACATTTAAATGTCCCAATGCCAGCAAATGAAGCACATATTATCACTGTTAGATGTATGCATTAAGGAACAGCACAGAAGAATGAGAGTTTCTTATATACATGCAAAAAATTTTATAGAAATATTGGCATTACCTTTTCTGACTTATTCTTAAAGCTACAAGCTCAGGTCCTGTCTTCTAAATCCTGTAATCACTATTTAGTGGGGTCCCCACCATGGATCACACATGCAGGATAACAGCTTTCTTTGGCTGCATGTTTGTTACAGGTCAGTGACTCACTATCCAGTGAATCCAGGGGCACTTGACCCTTAAAAACAAATCAGCAATGGTATCTTTCATATTTCTTCCCTCATAAGTTCACTTTAAAATCATAACGAGCCAAAGCAAAAGGGGTAAAACAAATAATAAGGGTATATCGCAGGGGTAGCCAAACTCCGGGCCTCCAGCTGTGATGAAACTACAAATACCATGATGCATCTCTCTCCGGGATTCATGGCTGTGAGAATCTTGCAATGTCTCATGGGATTTGTAGTTCCACCACAGCTGGAGGGCCGGAGTTTGGCTACCCCTGGTATATCGAATAGCATATTGAAAAAGGTAGCACATGTTGTAATTGCAATCAGGCTCATGTTCTGTGGGGCCTATCTAGCTATATCCGACCATCCTCATCACTACCATCTCTCCATCATCACAAATTAAAAGCTAAAATCACCTCTCCTGGAGGAGAGGGACTATACTGCACATGATGACGAAGGTGATTTTAGCTTAGGGGTTATGAGGCTTGAGGTTTTAGGTACAGGATGTAATTAAATGGCCATTTTAGTCCTATTGGGAGTTACTGAGGATGGGGATGTTCAGTTCGGAGCACTGTGTGTTGGGCCCTGGCTCATGCTTTGCACCAGGGACTAAATGCATGAAACCATACCACTGGACATCTCTTTTTTCAAAATAGTCAAAATTATTCATAGCTACAGATAAACAATTATCAGGACCCTTGGGTAAAGATAGTAGTGAACAGCAGAGCTTACCGACATCATTTCCGTTGAAGTGACCTACGAGGTTTGAGGCAGCGGGGAGTGCTTCAGCTGTACATACTGGTGCTGGGATAGCATGAATAGATGTGCTTTTTGTTTTATGTTAAAGTGTATGTTTTTGTGTGCGTTTGGCGCGCGTTCACGAAAACGCAGTAAAACATGCAACACGCTTGCGATGCCATTAATTTCTAATGGCACCCCAAACCCGGGCAGGAAGACATGCATTTTTGCTCTGGGTTTGTGTGCATGAAAACCTGCACAAACACGGAAGCAAAAAATGCGGAACACCTGTCGCAAAAAAACTGCTATACAAGCTTCTTTGCCGCATTCGTCTTGGGTGCAGGCCCCACTGAATTTAGTAGGGATGCGCGGAAAACGCAGCACACGAAAGCACATGATCGTGCGCTAAGGTGTGAATGTGGGCTAAGTGTTAGGGTCAGGTTAAGGTTAAATGAGAACTAATGTGCCACACCATAACTGGTGTGCTATTCATTTTTCTAACGTAAGTCTGGCAATGTGAGGAAAACAATAAAAAATCAGCTACAAGTATGGTATAAATATACCCCCCAGTGTAATTCATGGAATGAGCCCCAGTTATTATATAATCTACCTTAAAACATTGTTAGAACAAGCTGGCTGATAGGAGTACATGAACTTTTTTATAGAAAAATATGAAATAATGATTGGTCAAAGGATACTGGGAAATACGGCAAGTATCGATAGTAGAGAAATGAACATTCGTATGCAGCAGGTCCCCCTTCGGTTCCATTCTGGACAGGACTTGTAGGAGATAATAGACTGCAGAGAAATGTAGAGGACACCAAAGATAAATGCCAGGAGGGCTCCTATATCATGAACCTTTGTAACGGAAGTCTCCTGAAAGAAAGGGAAATGTACATATTAATATGGGATTTGTAGTGTGCTTACTGATATATTAGTGTAGCCATTTAAATGTACAGTAATTCCAACACAAAATGGCAAATCTACTGAACACTGAAGCCCTGGAATGTCTTTTGGAAGGTAATGTTCGCTAGTGAACAATGCCACCAAGTGACTACATCCAGCATGAGGCATAAAAACTGCAAATTCAAATTGCTGAAGTGAGAATTCTTCAACAGCAAGAAAAAGGTTAATCTTAAGCACATGCCAACAATCCCATTCCACGGTATAAACATGTCTATATATATCTATTAGAGGTGCACCGAAATGGAAAGTTTAAAACCGAAACAAAACCGAAATTAAAAAAAATGTCAGGCCGAAACCAAAAATGTTTTTTATTTTTGTATATTTAACTTTTATAAACTTTTTAATTTTTTTATATTTATTTTTATTAACTCATTTTTTATTAAATATTTCTATTTTTTACTTTTACTTTTAGGGGCTTCAGGGAAATATTAGGGGTCTAAACAGATTTTTCCCTTTTAAAATAGAAAAAGATTGAGAACACAAAGTCCTCAATCTCTTTTTCTGTGTCCCCTGTTATGAATGAACAGGAATCCTCTATGAGTGTTCCTGTTCATTGATAACATGAGAACATTGTTTGTTTACTATATATATATATATACTGTGTTTCTCAATAGCTGTATTGTATGTCTAGTTCTTTCCTCCTGCTTCAAGCCTGCGGAGAAGTTCATGTATGTTGACCTTCAGTAAAAGGTACAGACTAATGATTAAGTATTTGTCACTGAACAAAATACTGTGGTGGGAATTCAGCATACAGCACGTAGGACACTTTTCTGGCGGTGTGGTCCCTTTAAAACAACCTGCACCTAATTCATGAAAGCCTTGCAACAGTTTCAGCTGCAGTTCCGACATAATTTGATAGTTCTTATTATCGCCATTTAAGGAATCTGTCACAAGTGTTGGGCAGATTCAACCAAAATTACAATCCGTATACAAAATAAGTACTCCAGGCAAACTAATTATCTGCATCACAAGAAAACGCTGAAATGGGTGAACAAGCAAATATCTGGAACATCTTGGTTAAAGAATAACTCCAGCAAAATTAACCCTTGCAGTGGTGCTACTCCCATACAGCATGGGTGCTGCTCGTTTTGGTCCAGGGGCAAAAATAAAGAAAATGTACTCACCTGATCCTAAGTCCTGCGCCGGTCAGTGCTCTGTCTGCCCCTCCGCTCTGGTGGTGGAAGGTCTCCCAGCGTCCTCACATCTATTGCAGCTGCACTAGACTTGATGACGTCACAGGTCCTTAGACCGCCAGAGCCTAGGGGAGGAAAGGTTGCAGGGACCGCTCTAGCAGCCAGGTGGGACCTAGGATTAGGCGAGAATATTTTCTTTATCTTAGCTCTTAGACCAAAACGAGCAATTAACCCTTGCATTTGAGTTCTTCTTTAAAACCAACTCTGTACTAGTGTACAGAGACACCAGGAAAAGGATGGGGGTGGGTGCACCAGCCATGAGAGGTTTGCTATGGGCCCACCATTGTCTTCAATCTCCCTGGTACAGCATCATTCTGTAACACTTAACTTTAAATAACATGCCATGCTGTACCTGGTAACAAATTCAAGTGTATTTTCTCCCAAGGTTTTAGTTAATATGGATGACTCGAAACATGTAAAAGGAATATTCTATTGAATTTTTCCAAAACAGTCAAAACCTGTGTTCCTATATGTAACTTCTCACCTGAAAGGAAGCTACAATGCCCATTCCAATGCAGCCAATCACTCCAATTACTAAAGACATTATGTTGAAATATCTACATAGAAATGCAGATCTAGAATTTTGTACAAGGACTATCTTATATCGTACATACATCGTTGCTGCACCTGGTGAAAGAAAACACAATGACAATCAGTTTCCAGCAGAGTTTTAAACATGCAAAATAGGGCCATCAGATCAAATAGTCTATGTTTTAAAGCAGACCTTTACACTCAAAAATCACATTCTACCAATGCATCCCTCTATGCAGTGGTGTCACAAGGGGGGTGCGGCCCGCACCCGGGTGACACCATTGGAGGGGTGACACCAAAATGACTCACAGTCATTTTGGTGTCACCCCCCTCTGAAAAGTCGGGCGCTCGGTCATGGACCGAACACCCGACAGTATCAGGAGAGAGGAGGGGACCCGGCAGGATACCTTATCCCGCCGGGTGACTGTCCCCTCCTCTCTCTGCCGGCGTCCATCACCAAGATGGCCGCCGGCAGGTATCAGAATACTGCAGCGCCTGTGTGATGATGTCATCGTGCACGTGCGTAGTGACGTCACGTGCACGCGCGTGGTGACGTCAGGCCATGCGCAGTGACGCATCAGCGTGACATTCGGTTACCCCTCCGGGTGTCACCCAGCCCCTGGACGCCCCTGCCTCTATGTATGATGATTAAGAATAAAACACAGACATGTCAGGTGTAAAATGCTGTAATTCTGAAATACTTACACTTGCAGAACATTCACTTCCTGCTTTGTAAGGGAAAATGACTTCAGTTTGCCAAAGCAATGCACACTGGGATTGCCTTGTCATCAGCAGATCATTGCTGGGAAATCTCATCTGTAATCTCATAAGACCTCAGGAAAAGGTATTTTCCTCCCCTGAGATGATGTGCATGGTCACATGTCTAGTCATATGTGCCAGAAATCCAGGAAGTAAAAAGAGAGCTAGTAATCTGCCCTTAGTAAACATGGCCGCTATCAGAAGACTGGGGAAGAAAAGAGAAATAAGGTATGCAAAGAATACAAAGCCTGCAATTATCTAGAAGTATGTGTTTGTAGATTGTCAATACTAAACATTTCTAAATGTGTGTTTGTTGTTATTTTAAAGATAAGGGCATAGGTCTGCTTTAAGAAACTTCTAGGCCCCTTTAGGGCTTGCTCACACCATCTCCAGACCAGATCTGGATGCATTTCTGCAAATGTAGTCATGTGCGTTTTTGACACATTTTTTATTTATTTTTAGTCTCAATTGATGCATGCATTACAGTGTATTCTGATGTGTTTGGATGCGTTTACATGTCTTGGTATTCCCCAGACCAGAGAAAATAGTGCATGTAGTATTTTTTTAAATGTTCTGGAACTGAATGCAGTGGTGTGAACTAGCCTCACTTTTTAACCTAGGAATGAATGGGGATTCATTTTTGTAAAAAGACAAAACACGTTCTGGTCTGGATCTGGCCCGGACATAGTATGAATGGGCCCTTAGAGTAGGGGTCTCCAAACTACGGACTGTGGGCCACATCTGGCCTGCTACAAGAATTTATACTGCTCACAGCGACACCAGCTGGCTGGCAGTGGATGCGCAAGTCTTGTATGATGATTAAGAATAAAACACAGACATGTCAGGTGTAAAATGCTGTAATTCTGAAATACTTACACTTGCAGAACATTCACTTCCTGCTTTGTAAGGGAAAATGACTTCAGTTTGCCAAAGCAATGCACACTGGGATTGCCTTGTCATCAGCAGATCATTGCTGGGAAATCTCATCTGTAATCTCATAAGACCTCAGGAAAAGGTATTTTCCTCCCCTGAGATGATGTGCATGGTCACATGTCTAGTCATATGTGCCAGAAATCCAGGAAGTAAAAAGAGAGCTAGTAATCTGCCCTTAGTAAACATGGCCGCTATCAGAAGACTGGGGAAGAAAAGAGAAATAAGGTATGCAAAGAATACAAAGCCTGCAATTATCTAGAAGTATGTGTTTGTAGATTGTCAATACTAAACATTTCTAAATGTGTGTTTGTTGTTATTTTAAAGATAAGGGCATAGGTCTGCTTTAAGAAACTTCTAGGCCCCTTTAGGGCTTGCTCACACCATCTCCAGACCAGATCTGGATGCATTTCTGCAAATGTAGTCATGTGCGTTTTTGACACATTTTTTATTTATTTTTAGTCTCAATTGATGCATGCATTACAGTGTATTCTGATGTGTTTGGATGCGTTTACATGTCTTGGTATTCCCCAGACCAGAGAAAATAGTGCATGTAGTATTTTTTTAAATGTTCTGGAACTGAATGCAGTGGTGTGAACTAGCCTCACTTTTTAACCTAGGAATGAATGGGGATTCATTTTTGTAAAAAGACAAAACACGTTCTGGTCTGGATCTGGCCCGGACATAGTATGAATGGGCCCTTAGAGTAGGGGTCTCCAAACTACGGACTGTGGGCCACATCTGGCCTGCTACAAGAATTTATACTGCTCACAGCGACACCAGCTGGCTGGCAGTGGATGCGCAAGTCTGGGTATTACAATATGGAAACCATAGCATCCATTGCCAGCCAGCCATTACCCTCCCCCACCCACCCCCAGAGCTGGTGCTGCCACTAGGCAAACTAGGCAGCCACCTAGGGTGCAATGCTACCTAGGGCGCAGCCTTGACCATTCACCTCCCACGGCGCCCCCCATCCATTTCAAATTGCAAAAGCCAATAGCACGCTGGCTATTGTACCCGCCCACTGAGCAGAGGGGCGTAACTGAGAGACAATTCTTTCTCTCAGGTTCCCTCCTCTGCTCAGTGGGTAAGGTTTCAATAGCCAGTCTGCTATTGGCTATTTCAAAATAAATTACATCCACCTGTCGCAGGAGATT